GCCACACTGATCCAGAGGGATCCCGTGGCTCCTCCTAGGGCCCTGGAGGGCTCTTGCTTTCACTCAGGAATAGATAGGGAAGCAGCCCAGGGGGAAAAGGCAAGGAGCTGCAGGCGCCTGATGATCCTGAGCATGGCATCGGCACATTGCCACACTATGGGAGACGTGTCTACTCCTCCTTGGCTTTGAACCTGTTCTTCCTTTTCACTTTGCTTTGCTGTTACCTACAAAGGAGGGGGACTCTGCACTCAGGGTGATCTGCCCCACAGCACAGACAGGGCCGCTGTGGAGGACTACAGGGCTTCAGAGCTTCCACAGCCAGGGAAGGAGCAGGTGGAACGGCGGTGGCTCTTGGCCATTGGCCTCGCAGTCTCAAACCTCCAGCCACAGCGCTCCTGGCACCCAGTCCACTCTGTGGCAGGTCTCAGCCTCTTGTGACTGCCCCTTTTGTTGGCCTCTCCCATGTATGTCCTTACCCCCTTTCATGCTGCCTCCCATGCCTGGATTGCCTTCTGCCTTTAAGCTCCTTTCTCCTGTCAATCTAGTTCCCCGAGAAGCCTTCCAGCAACCTGACAGTGCTGGGTCCTACTCATCCCCGTCCCCCTTTTCCTTGTGGGCAGTTTCCCGTTCTTAGAGAAAGAGCGGCACTGAGCCTCTTTGTCTGGTTCTCTGGCTGGATTTTGCCACTGTGAGTGCATGGCATACATCTGTGGCGTCCTGCCAAAACAACAAGGAGTTTCAAGGCTCTAGCCCCTGAACTGGTGGGGCTTGCTCTCTCAAGCAACACCTGGTATCTGTGGCTGGTACAGGTGGCTGGCTGTGTGCTTAGGAACAGAGCTTGCCGGGCAAAATTGGTATAAATCAGATTGTTTCAAAGGGAGCTCATGATTTAAAGACTCCTGGAGAAAGTCCTTTTTTGATCAGAGAAGGATTGCTCCCTCGTTGATCATTCATATATTTGAACGTTTTGGTTAAGACAGGAACATCACCTCCCCCCCGCCCTGCCCCCCCGCCAGTTCCCAGTCCTCCTTTCTACATCCTGGACAGGAGGGAGTGGAGGAAGCCCTGGCAGCTGACAGGACTGCACGAGGGTGGTGCGGCAGATACCAGGAAGGGTCAGATGTCCAGGCTTACAGAGTTAGTGTTACCACATATGTGATGTGTGAGCATATTTTTACTGTAGGGCAAGAGTAAGCCAAGTGTACATCACTCCTAATTATATCTGGTAGGTCGTTCGCCTCTGCAGGTCCTGGGAACTAATGGAGAATTTTAATAGGAAAGTCCACGTGGTCCCTCAAACATCCTGAAGCTTACGTGGGTTGTGTCTTGGTTTGGCCAAGAACAGGGCGGATCTGGTGTGTACAGACATTCTCAGATGGAAGGTTGAATACATTGTTCATTGTCTTTGCTGTGAGGCCTTCCATCACTCAGCCCAACCTCCTGGGTGCTCCCCTGTTAGGGAGAAGGCTGAATGAGGCCTCTGCCCCCCATGGAGCTGCTCGCCCCCAGGAACACTGTACAATGTGTGATCGGAGAGCAGAGAGGCCCCCACATAGAGTACTAGGTTGTTTGAAGCGACTGACCTGGGAGACACTGTTGGTCCAGCACAGCAAGTCATTTTTATCGGTCTGAGCAGTCTCTCTGGTGCTTTCAAAAGGAGTAAGCTGTCTCCCATTGGAAGGGTCCAAGCAGAATCCCCCACCTCCACCCTCAACCCCAGAGAGTCAGAAGGAATGATATGTAAAATCTAGAATCTATGGAAATGAGGGCTGGACCTTCATGCAGTGTGACAGATGCCCACCTGGCAAATGCAGACAGGGCTGAGCCCTAAAAGTCCAAAACTTGTGCATTTGCTGGGCCGATGTTTTCTTCGACATGACTAATGTTTTAAAAATGGTTTGCTTCCAACAGTTATTACTCCAAGGAGTTTTCCCTGGTTATCTCTATCCCAGTTGGTTTCTCCCTTTCTTTGTAACGTCTTATATACAATTTGGAATGAACTCTCATGGATCTCGTTTTAGTCTTTCACATGGATCTGTCTCAGTTCTCACAATAAACTTGTGTAGCAGAGGGGAAAAAAGCATGATTTGTCAGGCAGATTAATAAGTAAGATTATGAAGGGACTGCTTATCCAGACTCAGAAAATAACCACCTATAATCTGTCTTTTCAGAAGTACCATTTCCTTGAAAATCATTGCACTTCAGACCTTCTTACCTGTTGCTGAAGGGCCTCTGGTGACACTGTTAACCTAGTTCCGGTTTGTGTATATATTTGAAAGTTACCTAGAGGTGTCTCCTGAACAGCTTATAATTCTAGCTCACCAGTCTCCCCTGCCCCTGGATAAATGGATAACTTCTTGTTTGACTAATGAGGTCCAGACAAGACAAATCAAAAATATATCCTGAAAACAAAGACAGAGCTCATTTGTTTGCACCCCTCTCTTGCCCTAGCATCGTCTGATTCCAGCTCTGTGTTGCAAGACCACACCCTTTAGTGGAGGGGAGGTAGGGAGATAAAAGGGGGATTAGCCGCCCGTCACAGCCCGACTCTGGCCATTTGAGAGAGTTTCTAGGAATGGAGCAAGAAGTAGAAATTGAGGGGCTGGGGGCTAGGTTCAGCCTTCACCCTAATTTTTCCAGCTCATGGGCTCAGCTTATTCCCATAGTTGTGAAAACACAGTTTGCCTGTAATCATCTTCGTGTGCAGTTTCTTAAATAGCCACAAGGTGAGGATGTGGCTCCATGAAAATCTCTGGCTCAGCAGGACATGGTCACTCATCTTTCTGTCCCTCCAGCCGTCTCTTCCCTCTCCTACTGTGTGTGCCTGTCTGTTTTGTAACTTGTTCCCTGGTTGGTTCGTAAAGAGCTTGGCTTCTGGAGTTACACAGTTTTGGATTTGAATCTCTCTGAGCCATGGTGTTCCCCTCTGTGAAATGAGGATGAGAAGCTGGCACTCGCGTGCCACTGGTGGGAGTGTAAACTGATGCCGCCTGTAGAGGGCCACTGCAGCCTCTGCCAAAAGCCCACGTGCGAGTACCCTTCATCTGTGCTAGCACATGCAGATGATGTGTACATGGTTATTCCTTGCAACAGTGTTTGTAACAGCAAAAGATTGAACGTAGCCCACATATCCACTAGTGAGGGACTGGTGAAGTAAACTAGAGTGATCCTTACAGTGGGGTACAGTACCAGGCAGTAATAAAAAAAGAAAGAGGAAGCTCTCTGTATTACTAAGGAAAGATCTCCGAGATATTTTGCTTAAAAAAAGAAGAAAGAAAGAAAAGTGAGGTTCTGAGCAGTGTCCTGTACAGTTTGCTACTTTTATGTAAAAAGAGAGGGAAGGATGAACTAGATCTTTGTGTTTGTCTGCATATGCATCAGGAGATGAGAGGACACACAAAATTCATGAGACTGTTCACCTGGTTTTATGGGAATGTCTAGTAGTGAATATTTTGCTTGGTTATATGGAAAAATTGGCTGCTTTTTCTCCCTCTGTGGGACTCCTTTTTTGCTCATAAGGTGAGTCGTTACACTGATTCTGTCACGCACACACTCCGTCCCATGACACTGATGGCACTAGCTGACTCTCGGTGCACACTCCACAGGCACTGTTATGCCCTGCATGCAGTAGCTCGTTTAGTGAGGAACGGGGACAAGGGCGGAGGCAGGCTTATGTCTGCAGTGCATTTTATATTTGGACCCTATATTACCTGTCCCCCCAATTTTTTTTTCTGATCAGTTCCTGCTCCCATTTAGTGGTTGTGAGAAGTAAATGAGAGTACATGTGAAGTGTGTGCTCTTCTCTGGGGTTGCCTCTGAATTGGTTTGGAGCCTCGCGAGGCAGGGCAGGACCCTCTCGTGTTCAGGTAAGGGCGGTCTCAGGGTACGTGCTGTCCCCACCCAGCTGTGTTTCCCAGTGTGTGAACCAAGCAGGATGAGCCCGCATCCACGGTCTCCTCCACCTTTTCAGGCTTCCCTGCTGCCACTAGCACCTCCTGTTGTCATTGCTCCACCTCCCGGTCTCTGAGGAAACAGGCTATTTCTGTCCAGCTTTTCACTTTGAGGTTGGCCTGGTGCACTCCAGGCGGGTGCCGAAATCCTGGGCACCCGCTCCTTGTCCCCCTCTTCCAGATCCTCCTGGAGATCTCTTTCTGCTGGCTTCCCGCCCCAGCCCCACCACAGCAGTGCTCCCAGCAGCAGCCCTTGCGTGCACACTTAGACTGAGGGGGTCTCCCTGTGTTGTCCCTGAAGCTCTTACTGGAACAGTCCTATTTTCAGCTCCAGCTTCCAAATTGTTCCTTCTTCCTTCCTTGAGTGCTCACTCTGGTTCTCCCTCACCTGCCAGCTGCTGCCTGGTATGCTGTGTGCTCTCGCTCTCTCCCATGCTTTGTGACCGTTATCATTACTCCCCACCTGGATTTCCATGGATTCCCTCAGTTACCAAGTTAATTATAACCCAGGCTAGTGGGAGGAAAGTCGCTGCTCTCTCTGGTCGCTGGCCATCCTTGGAATGAGAAGTCCCCACCTGCTCCACAGCCTGGAGTGTGATTTCTGTGCTTTGAGAGGGTCCTGCCTTCTCCACCAGGCAGAGCAGGCATTGTGGGAGCATCCTGGGCTCAGCCAAGGCCTGGGCATGCCCTGACTTGCCATTTTCTAGAGCAGAGCAGTCAGAGCCAGGCCAGAGCACCTGCTGATGAGGGCGTTGCGACAACAGAACTGCTGCAGGGCTGGCACGGGAGGGCCCCGTGCCAGGCCCCTTACTCATTGGGGCTGAGCCAAAGGGACAGGGACAAAAAGGTGACTTTAGGCAGGACCAAGCCTTAACTTGGATTTGGACCTGCATTGATCCTCCTGGGCACATGCTGCTGGGGCTGGTACTGGCCACATAAAAGCAGAGGACAAAATGGTGTGGTCCTGCGTCCCTTTTGGAAGAGTCTGGGGCTAAGGAAAAGCTGGACCTCTGTTCTTCTCTGAGGAAGGAGCCATGTTTGTTCTTTTTTTTCTTTGCCCCCAAAAATGTTTGTCTTAATCATTAAAAAGCAAGGTTTCCTGGACACAGATGCGGAGATTTATCTTTTTTCTTTTTCTTTCTCTCTCCCATTTTGTAGGGAGCTGAAGGCTTCAGGGGAACCCTGACCTAGGGACATCTCAATGGCCCTGGGAGAAGAAAAGGCAGAGGTGGAGGCATCCGAGGACACAAAGGCCCCGTCCTGTGGGAGGTGGAGCTGCAGGGAGCAGGAGGTGGGCACCCCAAGGCCCGTGAGCGGGGAGCAGCCGCCACGCCTGGAAGCTGAGGGAGGGCCCGCTTCCCCTGTGTGGCAGGTGGAGGGGCTGCCTGTCCCTGCCTGCTGCGGCGGGGCTAGCCCTGGCCCCTCTGGAGCCTGCCAGCCGCAGGCCAACGATGCCAGCAGGGAGCCCGGTGGATCTCAGCCTGCTCTCAGTTGCCTGCGTCCTCCTGCCAGCGTGGGGACTGGAGAGCTTTTGCCCTCTGTGGGAAGCCAGGTAGGTACTAAGGCAAATGGGACTATAGATTTACCTAATGCTGTCCTTTTGGAGTATGTTCCAGCATTTTCTCGCCCTCTTACATGCTTTCCCAGCCCTTGTACAAGGTGGGGAATTGGGGGAGCTTGGGTGTGATGATCTGTTTTACAGGTTCACCTGGAGAGCTGGGCCTTGGGGCCAGCAGGAGGCCCTGTCCTCAGCAGCTCCTGTTCCTCAAGAGTGTGACTGGTGACCTTTTGAGGACTAGGGATGCTACGGCCAAGACCTACTGCCCAAAGGGCTAGGCTGGAGGAGCTCTGACGGGGGGAGTCACATCCTATTTCTGACATGGTGATCTCAAGGCTCCAGGGGGCCCTGAGGAGACTTGGAGAAGTAGGGTCCAGGGCTGTTTGCTGTTGAGGGCTCTGAGACTGTATCCTTTTGTGACCCAGGGAACCTAGTGGATGGGGAAGTAGGGTCCAGGGCTGTTTGCTGTTGAGGGCTCTGAGACTGTATCCCTTTGTGACCCAGGGAACCTAGTGGATCCGTGGAGCCCCTGTGGTGGGCAGCACTGTCCCTGGGCAGGGAGAATTTCTTGGGCCTCCATGACTGCAGGGCAGCCTCGCTTGGTGGGAGTCACATGGAGCAGGGAGTCCTGCTGGGTTCTCTGACCTCGGGGCAATCACCAAATCTAAGGTGACTGAATGACCTGTCCCTCCCAGCTCTGACATCCTATTATGCTCTGCTTGCCAAGGCCTTTCATGGGAATGGCTTTGATCTCTTTGGTGTCATTGTGGCCTTGGCTGCTGCATGCTGCCCCTATGGAGCCCCATCCTGTGAGGAGGCTCTGAGCAAGATTGTCTGGGAGAAAACAGAAGCTGGGCCCACCTGCCTGGGAGCCAGGGGCAGTGGGAGGCTTAAGGGACCTGTGAGTCAGAGATTCAGTGAGGCAGGAAGCAAGTAAGCAGGCACAGAAGTGGGCTGTTTCATGAGTCTGAGGCTGGTGCATATTATTGTAAGGCCGGTTGTTTGTTGAGCTCTCACCCTGTGCTTTTCACACATGAGCTCATTTAATCCTCAGGTCCTGAGGAGGTGGTACTATTACTATCCCCATTTTACAGGTGAGGAAGTCAGGCTCCAAGTCACATATCTGGAAGGCAGCAGTTAGGGGTTGGCGTCAGCTCTGTCTGGTTCCAAAGCCCTTACCCTTAACCATGGTGCTATCCTGCCTCCCTGGGGGGCAAGTTCTTTGTGGAGCAGATTAAAGATTCAAAGTGAAAAGGCTGAGGTGAATGACTCATTTTGCCAGTGTGCAGTTCCCACTGGCATGTGAGCTGAGCCAGGTGGGCCCTGGTGGGTCGCCTGCCTGCTGGGTTTGGATGTGTCTCCTGTCAGTGACAGAATGATTGAGGTTTCGTCTGCCCAGGGCACACTTCTCGAAGTTGAGGCAGTGTCTTCCAGCTTCACATGACAGAGCTGTCTGAGCTCTGCTAGCTCACAAGCTGGGTGTCTGTGGAGGAAGAACTTTTGAAAGGACTGAGTGGGGGATCAGTTGGGGAAGACAGTCTGCTTCCCAGAGCAGGCTGGTCTCAGTGCTGGCCACTGGCAGCACTCTGATTCTTGCATCAGGTAGCAGACTCTTCATCTCAAGACCTTTCCTGAATATCTGGGCCCCCCAGAGAAAACTCTCGAGTTGTCATCTAAGAAACAAATTTGGTTTGCTTATTTTCCCCCGAGTGCTTTTTCTTCTTCCCTCTTATCATTGCAGATGGAGGAGACCAGGCTTTCTGCCTCAGAGGAGCTACCTCAGACTCTCAGCGTTCCCAGAGCCACAGCTCTTCGCTCAGGACATGATGCTGATACTGAAGATGACCCGTCCCCACTTGAGTCGCCTCGGGTACTGGACCTCAGCCAACAACCTCACATCTCAGGTTTCCCTTTCTCGTCAAGGTGGAGGTCCGTGGTGAGCCCAGGTGCCACTGCTCAGTTTTCCAGCTGCAGCGGCTCTGCCTCATCCCCCGGCAGCAGTCTCCAGGGTCACCGAGATAAGGCAGAGCCTCAAAGTTGCTCCCTTGCCAAGGTCTCCTCCTCCCTGGAGCTGGTCGTCCCCCAGCCAGCCCCCTCTGTGGTGGGGCCAGGGCCTCGGCTCCAGTGGTCATCACAGCCTGTGTCCTCTGGGGGTGATGCTTCTGGGCCGGGCAGGAGGCGCCTCTCCTTCCAGGCAGAGTACTGGGCCTGCGTGCTGCCAGATTCCCTGCCCCCTTCCCCTGACCGCCACTCTCCCCTCTGGAACCCGAATAAAGAGTACGAAGACCTGCTGGACTATACTTACCCACTGAGGCCCAGGCCTCAGCTCCCAAAGCGCCTTGACAGCCACATGCTGGCTGACCCTGTCCTGCAGGACTCAGGTGTAGACCTGGATAGCTTCTCTGTCTCCCCAGCAAGCACCCTGAAGTCACCCACTAATATCTCCCACAATTGCCCTCCAGCAGAGGCCACTGCCCTGCCATTCTCTGGGCCCAGAGAGCCAAGCCTTAAGCGGTGGCCCTCTGGAATACCCCCGAAGCAGGGCAGTGTGGGGTTGGCGTCGTGTAGCCTGCTCGCATCTACCCCCAGAGCCCCAGGCAGTAGGGACACTCCTTGGGAGAGCAGAGAGCCAGCCCTGAGGGGCATGAGGGACTGGCTGCCTGTGGGCAAGCACCTTGAGGTGGACTCTCCCCAGCTAAAGACATGGGATGGAGGGTGGCCTTCACCTAGGCCAGGAATAGAGAAGGGGGCCAGCCAGAGTATCCGGCGCCCTGCCTGCATGGAGTCTGGATGGAAATCAGAGGAGGAGGTGGAAAGCGACGACGAGTATCTTGCCCTGCCCACTCGGCTGACGCAGGTTTCTAGCTTGGTTTCATATTTAGGTTCTATTCCTACTGTAGTGACCCTGCCCACCGGGGCTCCCAAAGGGCAGAGCTCTCTGGACATGTCGGACAGTGATGAGCCAGCTTCCCTCCCATCGGACTCCAGCCAAAGCCAGCTTCCCTCTGGGGCTGCCCTCAGAGGGTCCGGGGACCCTGAGAGCCAGAACCACTGTTTGCTGCGCTCCTTCGTCTATGCAAGGGCCTCTGCAGGAGCAGGCGGTCTGGGGAGCAGCCAGGACCTGGGGGTCTCCTCTGGACCTCTGAGAACACGTTCCTCCTTGCCAGCTATGTTGGACCGGCGGGCGTTCTCCAACGCAGATGCTGAAGGGCAGCTTCCCAGGCGAGGAGGAGAGCAGGGAAAAGAACCGCTCGTGCAGTGTGTGAAGGTAAACTCAACGTTTAAGAGGCTTCGCGTAGAGGTGTCTTGTTTCCTCTTCCCTCAGTTCACTAACATCATCATAAAACTTAGTAACACTGAGTACTTTTTATCTGGCAGGCACTGTACTGTACCTTATCCTATTTAATCCTCACAACTCCACCTGGTTAGGACTATTGTTCTCATTTCACAGTTGGAGAAAAATGCAGGGAGAGGTGAGGTTACCTGCACACTCACGATTAGCAAAGGCTGGAGTCTGAGCTCTTCACCCCTATCCCAGGCAGCTTCCCAAGGCCCTTGACCTTGAGGGTTGAGAGGTACTCTGCACAAAAAGGGCTTGAGCTGAGATGCCCTCAGGAAACACTGGGCTAAACAAAAGTGAGTGCTTTCTTGACTGCAGAACTTCTCAGAGCTTCATTCTGATGAAGTGGGGTAACTGCAGAGTTAGGGGCATTAGATGTACCATTTCCTAGACTTCTTAGCCACGGAACCGTCTGTTGCAGACCACCTACGAATATCTGGAGATATAATGAACACTCCGTGGAATAGTGTTGTCAGCTTCAGGCAGATCTGAATTGAATCACGGCACTGCTGTCTTGAATTTTGGCTCAGTCTCTGAAAATGTGGAGCCTTGCCTCTTTGGGATCTGTGGGTGAAATGAAATCATTCATGTCAAGGGCTTTGCGCAGTCCCTGACACAGGAGGTTCAGGAACATGGCTCTGCACACCCTCGGAGAGTCCCACGGGGTGCCTGCATCCATGTAGCAGGCCGTGTACCCATGAGCCGACACTCCAGATGTTGCCTAGCACTGGAGGAGGGCTTTCACCTGTCCCGCGGATTATTTTATTTGTCCTGTGAAGCAGCTAGGACAAATGTTAGCATGTGCCCTCTTTTCTGATAAAAGATTGAGATACCCGGAGGTAAAGTGCTTGGCTCACAGACTCCCCAGGGTGAGCGGCTGGCAGGAGTCTAGTGGCCCGGCTCCCTGGGCAGTGTGGGAGTGGAAGAGGGACAAGCAGTTTTAATTCAGCTGTTTTTGGCTGTAGGTTCTGGTTAGTCACAATCATAGTCATTTATTTTATGTTCACATTTTCCCCAGAAACAGTTCGATAGTTAGCAGAGGTGCTGACCTGAGAACTGGTTTCCATGGCAGGCATACACCTTCTGGGCTATTCCCCATCCTTGCTGTCACCTTAGCTGCTCTGGTCCCACGTGCAGGGCTGGCTTTTCTCAGCCTGTCACTTTTGGTGTCACATCAGGCTGAGGGGAGACAGAACCAAGGTGGGGCTCTTCACATTGCCTTGGCAGAAGTCTGGAGTCACGGGGTGGGGACAGGGAAGGCAGGAGAGAGAAGAGGAACGCCTCAAGTGAGGGGAGCTCTGGAAAGCTGCACAGGCTGTTTCCAGGAATCCCCTGGATACTTGTAGCCTTCTGAAAATGTAAACAGCAGTGCAGTCAGTAACCCCACGTGTTCTGTTATTTGTCTGCACAGACATTCTGCTGTCAGCTAGAAGAGCTGATCCGCTGGCTGTATAATGTAGCAGATGTTACCGACCACTTGACTCCACCCAAGTCCAGTCTTACAGGTCTCAGGTCGTCTCTGCAGCTTTACCGGGTAATGTGTGGTCCTGGCTTCTGGCTGTTCACTCATGAGAGTGGTGGCTAAATTACTTGATTACAAAGTAAACTCTCAAATAACGGATGCTTGCTATGTTGTGGCTCAATTGACCGTTTTACCTGAAATCTAATCAGAGCTCCCTTTTCAAATTTTTAACGCTGAAAAATTGTAAAATGTATGTTATTTCCCAGGCCAAATAGAGTTTGGAGAATATACATTATATTTATCCTCAATCAAAAGCACTTAAGAGTGATTTGCAGTGTAATTTTCCAAGTGTCTCAGGGATTGATAAGCATAGAGCTATTACAGAGTCACTATCACATATGTCTGGTTAAGTAAAATTATAGATTCAGATTTCTCAGTTGCACTGGCCACATTGAACATTCCAAGTGTTCAGTCACCACATTTGTCTAGTGGCTGCCATGTTGAACAGTGCAGATATAGAACATTTCCATCATCACAGAAAGTCCTGTTGGACAGCACAGACTGGTATATAAGGATTTGAGCTGAAATTATACTAACTCCAGAATATACACAGCGCATTTTGATAATATTTAAACAAAAATACAAGTTGATTAGCTTCTCACCATGTTTTGTTTTTTGGGGTTTTTGCCTCTTTTCCATTAAGGTTTTGTTACTTAAAAAATCTCTTTAATTTTGGGTTCCGGTTAACTTGACTTTAGAGCAGGTGTATTTAGGGTGACAGTTTGCCTGCTTTTCTGGCATAATTATCATTAGGTCCCCCTTCATTCTCAGAAATGTTCTGAATTGGATAAGAAGTTGTACAGGTTGCCCAAAGTATAACATTAACCCTTACTGAACTACCTGCTGACTTCTAGCTTGTGTGGTTGGCCAAGCCTTTCTAACCTCTTCTGAAGGAGCAGAGGAGATATTTGTGGTCTGAGCCCAATACTGGTCTAGAAAGTGTTTTCTGGGACAGTTCTTTGAGTTTCTACCACCGTTTGTAACCTGACTGTGTGCCCTCAGCAGAAGAGGGTGTGATTTACACATGCCTGAGTCAGGGCCTCACAACCCAGGGTGACCACGAGAGAGAGGGACTTTGTTTTCCACCGTGGAGCCAACTAAAATTTAGGGGAGGGGCCTGGCCTGAGTGTGTCAGCTGCCCTGCCCTAGTGGGAATGCTGTTTCCTGCTGTGTAGAGAGGGATTGCCATGAGTTCCTTGCCTCAAGTGCACTTGAGGAAGGGGAGCAAGGCTGAGTGTGAGGTCTCTGTGTGCAGCCCCCGAGTGTGTGCACATAGCCGTGCAGGACCCACCCCCAGGAGGCCCAGGGGAAGTACCATTGCAGGGGAGGGAATTGCCATCCTTAGACTTACCTGGGTGGCCTTTCCAGGGTGCCTCAGCCCCACCCCCATCAGAGCAGGTATTAAGTAGAACAACTCCATCCCCTCCATTTTGTCCTTCATTCTGTCCTTCTTTGCTTCAACTTGCAGGCTAGCCAGAAGCAACCATCTTGCTTTGTGGGTAGAGTTGAGATCTAAGCTAGGAGTTACCCCTGCGGGTCAGTGAAGCCCAGCCCTCTTGTGTCACCCACACAACTGTGTCACCCACACAACTGTGTCACAAAGTAGGACCACACCGTCAACCCCTTCCCCACACAGAATGGTGCATGGCTCATGCATATACCTTGACCCCTGCTTAGATATCTAATGTAAGCAAGTGTGTGTGTGTATTCACATATTTTAACCTTGACTCTTGTCTCATACTCATACTTTGTCTTAATGACACAGTGGGTTTGTGGCAGCATATAAACTACAGAGATTACTAAAGAATAAAATAATAGACATAGGTATTAGGGCAAAGGAAGACTGAAGACAGGAACATAGTAAATCCAAGAGTAAAATTCTAACTTCAAAACGTGAACCACCAAGTTCTGCATCCTGTACTGAAGGTAGTTATGGATTTGATTTTACATTTCTTAGCAGCTAAAGCAACATCAAAAATAGTCAGCTTGGTACCCACGAGGGGAAAACAAATCAGCTGCTTAGGAGACTCACAGTTTCCCTGCTGCCTTCTTGAGGCCTGTCCGCATAGAGCAGGACACTGAGGGAGGACTTGATGGAGGCAGCGGCTCCCTGTGGTCAAGTTCACAGCATCTCCTTTGTGGCTCTTACCAGGTCCATTAGACTAGAAGACCGTGTTTTGAGAATCCCATAGCCCTGTGAGTTTGAAGAGAACCCAGTGAGGTGTGGCACAAGAAGGAAACCCTGACTCCAAGCTGTTCATGAGCCAGGCTCTGCCAGGGAAAAGAAAACTCTTTTGTCAGGGGCCGGCCCCGTGGCTTAGCGGTTAAGTGCGTGCGCTCCACTGCTGGCGGCCCGGGTTCGGATCCCGGGTGCGCACAGACGCACCACTTCTCTGGCCACGCTGAGGCTGTGTCCCACATACAGCAACTAGAAGGTTGTGCAGCTATGACATACAACTATCTACTGGGGCTTTGGGGGGAAAAAAATAAATAAATAAAATCTTTAAAAAAAAAAAAGAAAACTCTTTTGTCAGATGGTACAGAAAAAAAGATTGACTCTGTATTTACCTGGGGCTCAAAGAAGGTGAAGTTAAACTACTGCACTGTTTACTTGGGGAATTCTGAAGACTGGGTGGGCTTATCTTCCACATTAGAGGGCCATCAGGCTACCCTGCAAGGGATCATTTTGAATAACTTTTACAAAACAATAGTAACAAAGCTTTTTGCTTTTTTTTTTTTTTCTGACCCGCTTTAAGCAATTTAAGAAAGATATAGATGAACACCAGTCCCTGACGGAGAGTGTCTTACAGAAAGGAGAGATTCTTCTTCAGTGCCTGCTGGATAATACTCCAGGTAAGATGCTTGGGGTTTTGATTTAGCCAGCACTTAATCCCTCTCGGCAGCAGGTCCAGTGACCCATACATCACAATCAGGAGCCCCTCCCACACGCACCCATTGCCTTAGATTCCCCCGACTGTCTGCCAGCCCCTTACTGTCGTTACTGCCCCCACAACCATGCAGTGAGTCCATTGCAGTCATAAAGGTAAGCCGAGTGGAAGTTAGGCGTCGAGCCTGCGAGAACAACACTTATGCTTCTGCTTTTCTTTTTTCCCAGTGGTGTCCTGGGTGGGAATGCTGGTTTTAATCCAGATGTCCTTGGTTTTCGACTAGGGTGTTCACAGTGGGGAGCCCTCAACAGTTCCCCCCACTTTCCCAGTGCAGGCTGAACCGCTCATTGGTTCTCTCCTTTGGGGAAGGATTGTTTCAGGATTGGAGAGCAGGAGGTCTGTTCTAAGGGAATAGCCTGAAGGAAGACGTGAACTGGTGAGCGGGGCCAGGTGGATGGTGGTGCTCAAACTAGGCTCAAGCCTTTTTTGCAGGGCGGGTTCCCAATTTAGGAAAATGTAAAAATCACAGACTTCAAGAGTACGTCTAAGCATGCAGGGTGCAAGGATTTACAGTTGGCGTTGTCCTTCCTGGGGGCGGATACGATGGGGAGGATGAGCTAGGAGAATGCTAGGTTGAAGCAGTGAACTGATGGACCCCCAAAATCAGCCCCTTATTTTTCCTCCAAGACTGAACAACCAAGTGCTAAAAGAGCCCATCTATATTATGCCTCAGCTCTGGAGTGAAGTGGGGTTTGCACTGGAAGCAAACAGCATAAGCAAAGCTGGGCAGGACCCCTGGGCTTGAAAGGCAGTGAGGTTGCACTTTCCTGACCAGAAGTGGTGGGGCGGGTGCTTGTTAGGGAGGTGGTACAGAACCGAGTTTCTCACCGTCGGTACTGTCGACATTTTGGGCTGCGTGATTCTTTGTTGTGAGGAGCTGTCCCGTGCATTGCGGGATGGTCAGTAGCATCCCTGGCCACTACCTGTTAGATGCCAGTAGCACCTCCTCCCCAGTTGTGACGACCCAAAATATCTCCAGATGTTGCCAAATGTCCCCTGGGGAAGAAAAATCACCAGGGTTGAGAACTGTGAATGGGCACAGGGGTTTCAGTGGGACAGGGAGCCTCTAAAGGGTTTTCAGCAGGGAAGCGATTGATTATCCAGTGTGAATTACGCGAGCTGTCTGCAATCCTCTGCCTTTGGGAGGCCTTTGTTTTGACTCTTCTGGTGTTCTCTTGCACTAGGGTTTTTGTTTTTTATTGGGGCAGAAATTCAATATATATGCCAAGCTGCTTTAATTACACCAGCATTTTACTGAACACCGTGTGCCAGACACTGAGCTGAAGCAGTCAACATATCAACTTTTTTTCATTTACTCACAGCCCTGTGAGATGGATACTGTTATTACTCTCACCTCTCAGAGTTGTGGATCTGCCTTGGGCCACACAAGGAGTGGCAGCCTGGCTTGAGCCCCTGGACACTGGCTCCCGTGCTCCCATCAGTATCTGGGGGTGCAGGAGCCTGAGCAGGAAGGGAAAGAGCTCAGTACCAGGAACCTCTTCCTGGAGGCCACGTCTAACAGTGGGGCTCTTAAACGCTACAGGTTCTTTGACCATCATTTGAAAGTCAATTCAGTAATACTTCTCTCAGTGCTTAATCTGTAATAACTTCCCACTTTGCCCTTCTCTTAAAAGGAGCCTAGAGGTATTTTACTGCCAAAATAAGCAGCTCTTGGGTTTTCAGATATGTATCTAGGCTCTTTCAGACTGACAATCTGCCCCGCCCCAGTTTCCCTGACATTCACAGGGTCTCTCCAGTTAGGTGCATGACTGTTCTCCTCTCTCCAGGGCACCCTGTCAGAGTCAGTAGAGCCCAAGCACAAACACTCCCATCCAGCTTCTTCAGAGCCTGCTTTCTTCCTCTGCGACAAATATAACCTTAGGGATGGGAAGCCAAATTAATCCCCCCTCTAAAATGTCCCTATCTCAGCCTCCTGCCAAAGGCCTCCCCACAGAAATCTGGCAGGTTTTCACTACATTTTGAGCCAGTTACTTCAGTGAACAAGTTGACAATCCTGTCTTACACCCGAACTCCTTATACTGGATCAAATAACTGGAACCTATTGACATTAAGCTGAACTAGGCCCCTGTATGCATGTATTCAATTACATGCATTAAAGATAAAAGTCTCGGGGCCGGCCCAGTGACATAGCGGTTAAGTTCACGCCCTCTGCTTAGGCACCCCGGGGTTCGCAGGTTCGAATCCCCGGCATGGACCGACGCACTGCTTGTCAAGCCATGCTGTGGGGGCGTCCCATATAAAATAGAGGAAGATGGGCCATGGATGTTAGCCCAGGGCCAATCTTCCTCAGCAAACCAAAAAGGAGGATTGGCATTGAATGTTAGCTCAAGGCTAATCTTCCTCGCAAAAAAAAAATAACTAAAAGTCTCAGTGGGGAAGACTATTTCATTCCCCTTCCCAGCTTTCCTCTTACTTGGCCCCAACCAAATAGTCTAACATTGTAAAATAAAGTTCAGTAAAATAAAGGTCCCTTGAATTCCACTGACAACACACAGAAGGATGAGCAAAGGTCTGGTGAACGTGGAGGGGAGAACCCAGCCCAGTTGCCCTTACAGGCGAGCTGTACTACACCCTCGCTGCATTCCTCTGCCAGCCTTGACAGCTCTCATGAGTTGTCAGGGTGGCACTTTGCCCTGATGATGCTACACTGATATGGCTTCCCTAGGGGCTGATCTCAACACAGGCAGCCTGTGTTCCTTCTCCTTCCGCCCATCTGTCAGCATCCTCTGCAGATATGCAGCTTCCCCTTTCCTTTCCGCTGCTGGCAGATGTTGCAGCTGTAGCAGGAAACTAGGGAGAGTGTTAACACAGCTGATAAAGGCACAGGAAGCTAAAGCAGCCTTTGTGTTTAACAAAGGAAAATAGTTTTTAAGAGAAAAACACAAGCCTGCTGTGTGGATGCACTCTGAACCTAGCCCATCCCTTCCTCAAATGAACCACTGGCCTCACTAACCATCTTGTCTAAGCCTGCTTTCAGATAATTTTCTTTTGAACTTTGTTCATTTAGGACTCACAAAAAAGGGTTCACAAGCATTCCCAAATACATTACCAGACTGCCCATTTACATGCTGACACTCTCCCAGCCAAGTGAAGCTGATAGGACCTGGTAGCAGGACCCAGTGTCCTAAGTCCTAATCTTGGCATACTATTTTGTTCCATTTAAGCCTTCTGCCCCACAGGATCTGGGTGTGCCCTGTGTCTTATCTCTAAAAGTCAGATAATACCAGTCACCAGAGAACCATGTTTGTGTCCCCTTTTGTGAATTATGTAGTCATGTGCCACATAATGATGTTTGGGTCAATGACGAACTGCATATACGACAGAGATCCATAAGACTGGTACCATATGGCCTGGGTGTCTAGTAGGCTATACCTTCTAGGTTTGTGTAAGTACACTCGATGATGTTCGCGTAACGAAATCGCCTAACGATGCTATTCCTGTCATTAAGCAATGCATGACTGTAATTCCAAAGTGGAGCCAATGAAATTCTTCTCTCAGCTTCAATCAGAAGTTAACAACATAGATCCTCCAGTGCAACAGCAGTCCTTGGAGAGTCACTGTTAAAAAAGAGTGGACATTCTGAAACTATTGCCATGTTCCTGGTTTCTGTAAAATGCTACACCCTTGTATGTTCTTTTGAAAATACACTTGCATGGTTTTTTTGGCCTAATTGCTTTGAACCTCATTTGTTAGTGTTAAAGGATGTCCTCAGGAGGATCTCGAAGCAGCCCAGTGAGCTAGAGAGCCACGCAGATCACCTGTATGACACTATCTTGGCCTCTCTGGACATGCTGGCTGGCTGTACCCTCATCCCTGACAACACGCCAATGGCACACAGGAGCACCGATGTGAAGGGGATTAGCCTGGTAAGGAAAGCAACCCAAGAAAAGAAAATCTGTCTTCAGACCCCAGTGCCAGATTAGGGTACAGAGCTCCTGCTCTAACAGTTGGCTGTTTCTTGGAAGCCTGTTGAGCTAAACAAATGAGATGCTGGGGGAAGCCCCTGATACTGAAAAGGGAGTTGCTACCATTACCCGGAAGAAGGTTGGGGGTCTTTCTGTGGTGATGAAGGCTCACCTGGGTCCTTTCCATTACTCAGTTTCACCCCCCTGCTACCTGCTGAGGACTAGGGTGCCCCGTGCTTCCATTTCTATGACAGTCCCTTCACCACCACTCCAGCCACCCAAGGACAACAGCAACAAAACTTATCTATAGCTACTTTTTTATTTCTGCACGTGCGTTTCTCCTGTATAGCGCTGTCCTGTTGCCCCTGTTCTGCAGGCTCTTCTCGCCCAACTCATTTGGTACTCCATCTCCAAGCAACTCCTGACAGCACCAAGTGCCTAGAGACCCAGAGTTACTGATAACTCCCTGTACCTCCCTTTCCCACAAAGGGCCTCAGCAAATTTCTCATACCACTCCCTTCCAAAAAGGGCTGGGGGATAGATGGGGGTAACATGCCTTGGAAACTTAACAGTACAACTTTCTTTTGTTCTCTGGGAAAGTCAAATGGGGAATGATAGGAGAGAGGGGCTAAGAGAGCAGAGGAGATTGGTGCCCACTGTGGGGTTGCCACTGCCCAACGTTCTTTATGATTCCACAACTGGACCATACTTTCTCTGAAACTTCCTCTCCTACAATCAGAATATGGTGCTTAACACATAGATTTTCTAGGCGAGAAGTCACTATAGATAAAAGAAAGTGAAGGATAAAGTCCAGGTGTGTCAAGAGCAGGGAGTCCCTGTGTTTTCATCAAAGCAATTTGAGCAACAGTCATTTTAGTTCTAAAATGAATGGAAGTTGTCATTTCTTCCTCTGCAGCATTCTGCCTGTAACAAATGCTTCTCTTTCTCTTTTAGGCATCTTCTCAGGCAGAGATGTAATCTGTCAGCCAAAATCTGGCTGGTGGGAAACTTTCAGGAAGTCCTTGTAAGAGCCATTTAACACTGAAATCAAGGGGGAAACTTAACTAATGTACTAGCTTTAAAATGCCTTTCTCTTCCCTGAAGTAAGGGCCATTGAGTTACTATTTTTATTTAAAATGAATCCTTCCAAACTACCCTTCTCCTTTTGGTGCTTCTTTACAAAGAGCATGTGGCTTTGCATTTTTTGATAAAATAATGCTAATAAGGCTTACAGGTTTTTCCTCCCCCCACCCCATTCTAGTTAAAAAGAGCTCCTAAACTAGTCCACCTACTGAGATCATTAAGAAGGCTGGTATGAGAAAGAAGGTACCAAATACTTGGTATTCTCAGGCATACAAGAGGACCCAAGAAACTGAAAAAAGTGAATGATCAGCCAGGAACTTGGGTCTTTTCATAAAATGAAGCTTATGTTTATAAATCCCTCTTTGAAGATTTTAGAGACTTTAACTCTCCAAATTAATAGAAAATTCTAAACAAACAGAACCTCTACAAATTATTTTGGGCTGTTAGGACACTTTTTGTCATCTTCAGGACTTAGGGCTCCATCTGCCTGCGTAACTAATATCTTACAGGAAAATGTGTCAGGGACTTAGGAACTACCGTTGAGCTTCAGCAGGGCTATGGGCTAATCACCCACCTTAAGGGTACCTCTGGGAGGACGCATCCTCCTACTCTCCCTTGGAATAGTCGTCCAGGATCACGGAAGGGCATGGATAGGATCACACAGCCTGATTACCTACAGAAACTAAGGCTGTCAATAATAAAGGAAAAAAGAGAATTCTCTGTTGCTTAGGAGGTGACATTTAAGTATCTTGACGGAAAAAAAGAATCTATGCATCAACCATTTGAAGCATGAATTTTATAGCTTTTTAAAGCAAAATGATCAGCTATTGCTAGTAACCATAGATTCTGCAAAAACAAAAAAGCACTTAAAAAAAAGTTATACTGGGCCATGAACAAACATGGAAGGAGGAAAGCACATTTTTTTCCATCTATTTTTGGTATTACAATGGGCTAAGACGTAAGGGAATGGTTCTTCACACTTAAGTATGTGTGAGATAAGCCCTTGCAGATCTTCTTCCAGCTCCTTCCAAATTCTCATTTGAGGAGGGTGCTTAAGAAAGGAAGATTTTTTAGGTTTATAAAGAAATGAATAAGTCATTTTGAACCCAAGGAGAGTGACTTTGGAACAATTATTCTCAATAAGCAGACTTCTGATATCCCTTCAGAACAAAACCTTTTAATACAAAATTACCTCCTTTAAAAGAAGTTTAGGACTTGAATTTTGGGGGCTGAGCCACATAATCTTAACACCATCTCGTCCACCTCTATATTAAATATCAAAAATGACTTTTCTGCTTTAAAATTTCTCAGACTTTATGGTCACTGGAAAATAAGCTGTTAAATTCTAATATTTAAAGATTAACTATGAAGGAAAACTATATAAAATTCAATAGTAGCTATATAAAATGCAGAATTTTAAGCACCTGCTGCTACTATGGTATGATTTACCATAAGGGCATGATCCGAATTAAACTGTATTATGATTCTGCCATCTCCATATTAATCTTGGTTCCATACATAGTGAGATTTAAAAAGACAAAACAAAATACCTCCCTAGCAAATAACTGTATTTGTTAAATAGTCTTAAAAGCCTATAATTAGTTAAAAAGGCAGATATGTCTGATGGCCTCTGTTCTTAAATTGATATATTTCACTTTCTCTTTAATGTGGTTGTAAATTGGTACATGCCTTTCCACTGAGTATTTTTCAGGATAGCCCTTAGGAGTTAAACCCATTTATTTACTAGTATTTGATAGGCATGAAAATAAGTCTATTAGTTGGCCAAAAAATTCAAGACGACAACCCTATAGAAACAAATGGCCAACGTTATAGCAGTTAAATGTTGAATATGCTATTCTTTTCCCATTCAACCTAATTATAATCAGCTTCAACTGACAGGAATTTTCACAGAATATTTTATTTCACAGTACCCTGTCTCCCATCACTTTACCTAGAAATGATCTAAGATATTTTTGTTCATCTCCTTTGAAGTAAGGTGTGACTGAAGCATGCTTACTCTGGACCTCGCCGTGAATGCCACTGAAGAGCATCAACACAACTGTTAATTATATCTTTAGCAGTGCTTTAAAAAGTTTAAGACCTCCTTTAAAACTCAAGATGAAATTGTTTCAGCCTAGGAAGATGCTGCCAGCAGCATTTCCAGGAGGAAACATGGCTGGGTTCGATTGAGGTAGCCTGGCTGAGGCTGACCAGTGTGCTGTGGTACACATTAGCCTTAAGGACAACTGTGGCTTCCAGTGACATAACAGTGGTTATGAACTACCAAGTTTACCTGTTGTAAAATTTCCTAGTAGTTCCTTTAAATTAGTAGAACTTAAGTCCAGAGGGAAGTGGCAATACTAAGAGCTGGACTGGCAGTTGCAAGACCTGGGTTCTTGTTGCAGCTCCATGGCTAAGCTCATCTGCAAACAGGAGACAGTGTCAATACAGGGCTGTTTTGAAGCTTAAATGGGAACATAAAGAAGGGCTGCTGTAGAATATGCTTCAAGGCAATATGGATGCTAAAGGAAATTTCAGTCCAAGGTCAAAAACAGAAGTTACTGCTCAGACCAGAATAGCTATCATTCTGCAAGGATTTCCCAGAGACTGTGACTGCTTAGGTTTACAACACTCTTCACTTCATGTAAGCTAATTCATGGCAGCCACTTACATTTAAAATACAATAAGCAGTAATTCCCTTTAAGTGAACAGATTATTAAAGCCCATAGTAGCTTGAAATGTTTGTACTTGAAAATGGGGGTAGAAGTGGGAATATGTTATTTACAAAACTGCATTTATTGGCATATTCATAAAAGCAAATAGTGAAGCATGCTGAAACAGCCTGTGGTAAGCCCCAGTCTTGACTGCCGTGGGGGAAAGAACACTAGAATTTTCAAAACTAAATAAGTATGTAAATATGCTTACATCTTAAATTCATGTAACATTTTTTGCTAACTCACCAAGAATAAGCTGATGGTTTGAGCTTGCTGTATAAATCTGAAGTGCACAGCATCACACTAACATTTGTGTCATTTATTTAATTTAGAAAATAGTTTCTGAATTCCTTCCCCCTTTATGCTGTATTGATGAGGCAAAATACAAACCTTTTGAAGCATTAAAAAAAAAAGATCTTCACCCAAATAACTATGGGTAACTTGAGGAATTTTTCAGTTGTCTTATGTGAGGATGAATAGATCCAATAAGCACATCTTTAATACAAAGTAAACTATGATTTTATTGTGAAATTCTCAGATGGAAAATTAAATTGAATATTCTGTCCATTTCATTTTACAATAATCTTACCACTTATTTTTGTACCATGTATTTCAATTGCCTGTTTAGTGAAAATAAAGAAACCTATAATTTTTGGCTTGTTTTTAGTTTAGATTTTATCATTGAATTAAAGACTCCACCATAAAATGTGTTGCCAACAGCCACATCCCAAGTTCCTAAATAAAGAAATGTTTGGGCTGCTACTTCAACCCCAAGGAAACAATCTTTGACTTCTATCACCTTAAAATGCCAGTGTTAGCAAAAGATTTTTGTTTCCCACAATAAAAACGAACCCTAGGATCTTTAAGGTCATATTTCACAAAATTTTTCACGTGCAAAATTCCACTGAAATAAATATATTTCTCTCATTTATCATTCCCACCCCAGCATTCGTGTTTTCAGTTAATTTTCAGGGATATAATTTCTAAAATTAGGGCAATCAAATACTAAATTTCCTACTTTCTACTTCAATGCTTTAACTTCCTTCGATGCTTTAACTTCCTCCAATCTAAGTTATACAATTGTGGAGGATAAAATAGTTGGCATCTGACTCAAGCATGGGAGAAACAGTATTAGCACACGCATTAGTCTGATCGTTTGCCAATGAGGAAGGGTGTGCTGCTTTCCCTCTCTACCACAGATGAATTAACAAAAGGTTGATCAATAAAGCCATTTCAAATGGTTTTTAGGGAAGGATCAGAGATAAGAGGCTAGATAACATTCTAAAGTTGTTTTCGATACAATTTAATCTCCCTGAACCACTAAGCTTGGTTAAATCCCTACAGAGCACAGACGCCTCCCTAGGCCATGTACTGGGTATAGTATCTGGAAAGCATATTGGATGTTGCTCTAAGATAGGTCTACAATGCCCTGGTTGCACACACAAGTGGCTGTTTTGAGTATAATGCAAGGCTCTATTTCCCTTTAACCATAAGAATTAAAACTTATCACCATACAGTTTGATATTACTTCCAATAAGTACAATATTTATTAAACATATCTTCAGTTGTTTTGTTACATAGTGTGCAACAAATTACAATATTCTGCAGCCACAAATTATATGCAGATTATGAAGAAACTATTAATCAGATAGTGTAATCTTTCCGTTTATAACTCTACAAGGAAGAACTAGCAAATCAGATCTTACATATAACATCTCACTAAACTTTATGCATGGAAAGTGACAGACACTGGTTGTGCTGTTTGATACAAAATGGCTGAACTTCATCTTCAGAAGACTAAACCTGACGTCTAAACATGCCAATATAAACATCAAAACAAAATATATTCTAACCAACCACGGGAAACAGTCTGGTATCAGGAAAGCAACAAAGATTACACACATTATTTTATAAACCAGCACACAAAGGTTTAAAACAGTTCTGAAAATGAAGTTAGCTGTCTTGAGTCAAGGGAATAAAAAAAAAGTCAGTATTGACCATTTACAATCTCTGACCTTTGTGGAGACGGTAAGAATCTGTTGTAGTGCAGCTACATACAGTACAATTCAGGCAATTTTGTTTTTTCACTTGGGTTCAGATTTCAAATTCATTGCTGTGAGAAAAGGACGGAGGCAAATTTTAGCAGCAACCTCCACCTGACTGCTTGACCGGAGTGCTCTGAATTTTAACATTGGACTTCTCTGCACCACCAGCTGTTGCTCCAGGACCCATTCGTTTTTTAATCTCAGCTGCCATGGTCATGAAAGACTGTTCTACATTCGTTGCGTTCTTAGCACTGGTTTCCAAAAATGGAATTCCAAGGGAATCAGCAAATTCCTAAGAGAATAATAAGGCACAATTAACACTGAAAATTTTTTTTCACTTAGTGCATTTCTATCATCTGAAATGAGAGTGAAGAAGGACTAAGTTTACTGAATCTAAACAGAGACTACACAAATCGTCACTGTCGGAGTATTCTAGTGCACGTTTTTTAAATACCCATATTCTTAGGTGCACATATTTTTAAATACTCCATACCCATACATAATTCAAATTCAACATCTTCAAATTCAGTTTGAAAATCAAACTTTAAACATACCTTTGCTGTTGTGTAGTCTACTACTTTCTTTGTGGTCAGATCACACTTGTTCCCTACCAACAACTTGTTGACGTTTTCACTGGCATAACGATCTATTTCCTGCAGCCACTGTTTAACATTATTGAAGGACTCCTAAGAAGACAGACATTTTTAAGAATGATAATACAATTCTGGACACAACTGCTCTAATGAAGCAAGTGATAAACAGAAGTGTCTTTCTTGACCTACAAAGAGCTAGTGAGACAACTCTAGCTACAAAATAATAACTACAGTGCTGCGAAAGAAGTGAACTGATATATTAAAATGACTATACATACATAAATGAACAAGAAATTAAAATTGGAAGGCTTGAGGATGAAAATACCTTATTTGAGAAGGAAATACAGCTCAGCATTAAACTACAGCTCAGGCAAATCCAACTGTTTTGAAATATGCAATTTAAATGCACTATAAAACCTGGTTTTTGAAATGTGATAAAATTTTGGTTTATGAATAAGATCACCTACTCAGTATTAACTACTGGAGATATCAAAAGATATTATTAAATAAATGGGTCCAAAGTAAAGATGCTTGTTTTCTTTTCTACAGTCATATTTCGGGGGGGCAATTTTCATTTTTAAATATTTCATGACTTGAGATTTTTGAAATTAGCATCATTATTTTCTCCTGTTGACATCAGTCACCCAATACTTGTAACGGTACTGAATCTAAAGTCTATGATTCTAGTTATTTCCTAATTAGCTATGATTTCACAGTTGAGGTGAGATTTAACATTTGCTACAAGAAAAACAGACTCTAATCTTCAAAATTTATCTTTTATTATTTTCTTTAATTGGGAAAAAAAGGACCTTGAAATTTTATAAGTTGCTGATCAAAAGAACAGTTATGGCCCCTGGACCACATTCTTCACACTATCTCTATATCCCCCTACCTTCTCTCAACAGCTGATCTTCAGATATTCATTGTCCTCTTAAAATCTTCCTTGACCCCATCCTATTTCTGAACCACATCCTCTACAGGCAGAGACCCCTAATCTTGCTTTTGGCAATTCTGACAGGTCTAATTACAAGGCCAATTCCTGTTAATACTTAACACCAGGAACACAGTATAAACCAAACAACCCACACAGTTCCCTATGAACTCTTGCCAAGATAATCACTGTTATTTAGTTGATAAATATAACCAGAGTCCCTTGAAAGCAAATGTAAAACCAATTACTAAATTTTATAATCACTAAAGGAAAATAAGAAATTTTGGTTGACCAATTCATTAAACCTTCAAATGATAGAGGGAAGAAAAATAACAATGTTCTTGTTTTAAAAAGATTAGTACTTTGAAACAAAATTTTTTTATGTAATTCACTTTTTTGGGAGTTGACAAAGTTTTCTGCCATATAAATAATACTGATGTCTTATATGCAAAGTAAAAGACTGATATTTATTAAATAGTAACTTCCTACTTTGTCACTGTAACGTAATTTCCTCCTGGGACTTACCTGATCTGTCACATCATACACAACTATGATGCCATGGGCTCCTCTGTAATAACTGGAAGTGATTGTTCGAAATCTTTCTTGGCCTGCTGTGTCCCACTATTATAAAACAATCAAGAAATCCAAACAACTCCATTAACATAGAGTTAGAGAAAAAGGCAGGAGGAGGGAGAACAGTTTAGTTCACATAGTTATGGAGACTGTCAGGATTTGATATGGAAACATTAGCCCCCAATGCTCACACTACTAAACTGCATGGTAATGATACCAATATTATAAGCTCTTTGATATCAGGAACTACATCATCCTTTTCATATTCCCTATAGGTCTTAGCACTGAGGCATTCAGTATGAAGCAGAGACAGGCTGACTTGATTAGGAAAGCTACTGGGTGAACTCTCCTTTAATATACTACACTCTCACACGTAAGACAAAACAATTTGCTAGCACATCTTCCCATCATGCAAAGCACTGAAAGGACCTAATTCAGATAACTACCAGTCAGAACAGTACTTTAGTCATCTCAGGAAGGTATTATTTTATTTTCTTTTGTGAGGAAGATCAGCCCTGAGCTAACATCCATGCTAATCCTCCTCTTTTTTTTTTTGCTGAGGAAGACCAGCTCTGAGCTAACATCCACTGCCAATCCCCCTCCATTTTTTCCCCAAAGCCCCAGTAGATAGTTGTATGTCATAGTTGCACATCCTTCTAGTTGCTGTATGTGGGACGCGGCCTCAGCATGGCCAGAGAAGCAGTGCGTCCATGCGTGCCCGGGATCCGAACCTGGGCCGCCAGTACCGGAGCACGCGTACTTAACCGCTAAGCCACGGGGCTGGCCCAGGAAGGTATTATTTTAATCCTAGGGAAATGAATGTAAGGATGATTCCAAATACTTTTATAAAACTCATTTTAAAAGCAGTTTACCACACTTCAACCCTTTAGGCTCAAACATCAAAAACAGACGCTTACATTGTTACATTAAAGTTCCGGGTTTTAAAAACTAATCATTAAAAATATCAAGAGGAAAAAAACTCAATTGTTAGATTTTAAAAGCCTTGGTTTTAAAAAAGGAAATGAGAATTTTGTTTGAAATTGCTCCTAGACAGTGGCTTCTTCTTAAAAAAGTATTTGTATAATTAGAATAGCTACCTACCCCACTAAAAGATACTGGTAAAAGGTAACATCTTGATTGATTGGGAAATAACAGAATGGTTACTTAATGGTTACTACAAAAGAAAAAAGAAATGGACTCGAAGCCTACAACAAGTGGAGAATACGATGCAATAGCTCTTAGAGGGAGGGAATTGTGAAGTTTTGGAGTGTATCTATGAACTTAACATTGCTCTCCACTAATGTCTTAGATGACAAAAAGAAAAAAGGTTCAGGTTTCACTCAGTGAAATCACTTCTTTTTTTCTAAGACCCAGCGAACAACAGACCTGTTAAAAACAAGTTGCAATTTCGGGGAAATTTGAATACAGACCAGCCATTAGATAATATTAAGGCATTAGTGTCAATTTTGTTAGATGTGATAATGGTGTTTATATAGTAAAACAAATATGCATACTGAAGTATTTTTGGAGTAAAATATAATCTCTGTAATTTACTTTAACATACTCCAGGAAAAAAATAATTATGATGAAGCAAATAAGGTAAAATGTTAACCATCATTATTCTAAAACAAAGAAACAAAAACAAGTCACCACAGCTTCATTACCTTTTTTGTCCTAACTACCAGCCTGAGAGCGTACAAGACTGTTGATCTCCCCTATCAGTAAGGAGTCTCTGAGTCTTTCAGAATGTCCTTGGAGAAACACGGCTTTGGAGTCAAGGCAACCTGACTTTAAAACATCAAATCTAGGTTCCTGGTTACTTAATGCTAGGGAGAGTCATCTAATAGTTTATTCATCTATAAATCCTAGATATCACTACCTTATAAAATTGCTAAACGGGTTTAAATGAACTAATGTTTGTAAAAGGCCTAGCACAGTGCCTGATTATAGAAGCTGCTCAATAAAATGTTAGTTCCCTTCTATTCTCTCCCCACCCCTTTCACAAAGATAGCACAAGGAAGAAATTGTTTCTGAATAGATATTAAAGAATTATAGCTGACTAAGCAATGGCATCCAAAAAGTAAAATTTCTGATGTCTCCTTGTCACTCTGAAAACTCTCCTGACTCTACATCCTAAGAGTACCTTTATCTATAATTGATCACTCTTTGTATATAATCCTCATTACCCCTCATAATCACAGGGTAACTGATTTTCCCATGTTTGTCTCTCCCACTGAAATGGGATCCCCTCCTATGGGGCTATGTTTCATTCATCTCTGTAACCTCAAATCTATCTGAGTGCCTGATTTCCATAAATGCTTCATGAATGAACGAACAATCACAGAAAGAGGTCTTCCATGCTTCCATGGTATGGGACTGGACTCTGTACCTGCCCTGCCCTGATGAATGTTTTGTAATCACTAACTCTGATACAAAGACCCAGATGGCACACTGAAAAGCAAAAGCTGAAAGAATAATTAAAATATAGATCAACATGATTATTTTCAAAGACCTACAAAACTTGGAAAGATAACTCAAGCCAAGCAAGATGAAAGGTAATGGAGTTAAAAGTAAAATCTTGCATTTAGATTTAAAAACACTAGTCACAAGTGTACAGTAAGACTTTTTTATTTTTAAACAAACCAAAAACCTTAAGATCCAAACTAGTAGGTAATATGGCTACTAAAGACAGCAAATGTAGTAAACTCAGATTTTCTTTTTATGTCCTTGAATGGATTAGAAAAGAGCATGAGTCCCTGAAGTCCAAGAGGGGAAAAAAGAACTTCAGAGTCCAAATCAGGAGAGGATTTACCTTATGTAGTCCACACTGGCTGGACTATATCTCATATTTGATTTTAGGAATCACATTTTAATAAAGGGCACTTAAAACATCAAAGAGTAACCCAAATTGTGAAAGGTTCTGAAAACACGCTTCCAACAAGTTATGACTGACTTCAGAGGCAGAAGGTTGTGATAAGATCAATCTAAAGGGCAGGCTGCCAATAGAAAAGGAATTAATCTCATTTGGGTACCTCCAAAAGGCAGAGGAATAAGAGACAGAAGTTAAAGGAAACTGGCTTCAGCTCAATATAAAGAATTAACAATTAGAGGTTATTTATAAATGGAACTAGCTGCTCTGAAAAATGGTGAACTTCCCAAAAATGTTCAAAAAAAGGCACCAGATAGGGAAAGGAAATTCCCACAGAAGATGAAATGAAGACTGAGTGAGTGACCTGTAAGATTCCTTCCAGCCACAGCAAAGTATCAATATATGAATGTTTCACAAATATACACTCAAATCTTATGCAGACCAATGATCACATGTAACATAATCATTTCACATCACTAGTTAGATTAGAGGCTTGGGTGCATCTTTCTGAAATATTCTTTACGGTACCAAGTATAAAGCTGGCACTCTGCATATAATGGGAAAAATCAATATGGAAGGTAATCTGTTCACAGGCTGAAAGTATTTCAAGCTCTCTCTGGTAACTATATCTTTCTAAGTCCTCATTTGGAGCATCAAGTGTGTTCACTTGTATCAAAATCCACAATTCTTTTGTAATGTACCTTTTCTTTTCCTCATCAGAGTCATACAAATAGGAAAGGGAGCAACTAAAAAAAATAACCTATCAAACATCCATTCATCTGGGTATGTCATATCATCAGTAAGACTTGTATACTGCCTAAAAGTTTACAAAGGGCTTTCACATAATCATATACACATACGCAGAGCTACTAGATTTGGTTCTCACAATTACTTTATGAGTTAATAAATCAAGTATCATCATACTCATTTTAGAGATAAGAAACTGAGTCTCAGGAGAAAGGCTGAAGTAAGTTAAACCCACAACTCTCTAACTAGTAAATACCAGAACAAAGGCAACAAACAAATCCAAGATTTCTGACTCCAAATCCAGAACTCCATCTAGTTCAGTGTGTCATCAGTTCCATGAAAAGAACAGTCACTGATTTTCTATGTTACCTCATACCGACAGCCAACTCTAAAAGATACCCAGAGATTAATTTTTTTAAAGACGATCGATATGTCCACACTGGTAGTAACCAGACCCCTATTAGAGTGCTACTACTGAACTACTACAACTGCCTATTTTTAATTTGGGGTTGGGGATGTAAGGACAGATAAGGGGACTAGGATGGCACAGGGACACAAAATACTGAAGACAGAGAGCTGTGGGTCACTTGGTTCTGCTAGTAACTGTAGGCAAGTCATTAAATCTCTCAGATCCATTATCTGAGCTGTAAAACATGTTAGAAAAGCTAAGTTCCTTTCCAATAAAATTCTGTGTGTCTACAGACTTGGTACATACTATTTAATAAATACAACGAACTAAATAAATACTCTTCAACTAAGCCACATATGAAGAACCACTCCTCCGTTGCTTTTAATGTTCCACAGTATTCAGCACAGTAAAAGACATACAAAAAATGCTCAATATACTTTTGCTATAAGACAAGGTAAATTTCAACTTAGACGTCCCCCCCTGATAAAAGCACAAGAAAAAAAACTGGGACCAAGTTTGACTTAAAACATGTATTTCTCTGCTTTATGAACAGAAAATTCAATGAGGAAGGTAATCTTACAGAAATCATTTTTAATCTAAATAATCCTTATTCTACCACTCTACCATAGATGCATGATTCTTGATACTTTAATCTTGTTAACATATTTAAAAATAATAATACATTCTAAATTCACCAAAATGATTTCAAAAAAAATTTCTAGTCCAAAATTACTTACTATTTGAAGCTTGATTGTTTTCCCATCTAACTCTATAGTTCTTATTTTGAAATCCACACCAATTGTGCTGATGTAGCTTTCTGTATATGTATCATCCTGAGGAAGAAAATAGGTAATGATTAAAATTAATGTTCAATAGAGTAAATAATGTTAACTTTTATCTACAAAGTTGATAAACAAAGTTTATAAGGCATAACATGTTAAGACGAGCCATTCCACCCCACTCCAGTACTCAGTTTATGTTCTGATTACAAAGCACTATTTAATAGTAGTTTCTCAAGATTTTTTCAATAGCTATTCTTTAATTTTTCCAAACATCTCTTGACAAATTCTTTACATACATCACACAGAAAAAGGTTTTATATTTTCAGTGATTATGAATGATTTTTTTCTAATTGCTAATCAGCGAAACCCTTGATCCCCTGCCCCTCCCCCCACATCCAATTTATTCACCACAAATCAATGATCATGTCACTCTCTGCTTCTGGATTTTTTTAGAAGTCAATTTTATTTCCTAGTTATGCCTTTTTAAAATCGAAATATAATTCACATAACATAAAATTCACCCTTTTAAAAAAGCATACAGTGTTTTTAGTATATTCACAAGGTTGTGCAACCGTCACCATATTTAATTCCAGAACATTTTCATCACCCTAACAGGAAACCTCGTACCCAGTAGCAGTCACTCTCCATTTCCTCCTCTCCCCCTAGACGCTGGAAACTGCTAATCTACTTTATGCCTCTATGGATTTGCCTATTCTCAACATTTTATATGAATGGAATCATATAATATGTGGCCTTTTGTGTTTCGTTTCTTTCACTTAGCATAAAGTTTTCAAGGTTCATCCATGTTATAGCAGGCATCAGTACTTCATTCCTTTTTATGGCTGAATAATAGTATACTGTATAGATATACCACATTTTGTTTATCCATTCTTCAGCTGACAGGCATTTGGGTTGTTTCTACTTTTCGGCTATTATGAATAATGCTGCTATGAACATCTGTGTACAAGTTTTTGTGTGGACAATGTTTAACCCAATGTTAAACTTTTAAAATTAAACCTGATTTTCTCTAGTATCTGTTATGACATTTTACACAGAATGGAGACAAAACTTTTTTTTTTTTCTTTAAGTGAAAATGTTTGAGAGATCAGGCTATCACCACCAAAACCATTGAACATGCTTAGCAAGCACAAAGCACCACCTAGGAAGTATTCTGCCAACAAAGATAGACCTAAATCTAATCAAACTGAAATCCAGTAAGACAGCACTGTCAGGGGCCGGCCCAGTGGCATAATGGTTAAGTTCATGTGCTCCGCTTCAGCAGCCTGGGGTTCGTGGGTTCGGATCCCAGGCGTGGACCTGCGCACCACTTATCAAACCATGCTTTGGTGGCATCCCACGTAAAGTAGAGGAAGATGGGCGCGGATGTTAGCCTGGGGCCAATCTTCCTCAGCAAAAAGAATAGGACTGGCAACAGATGTTAGCTCAGAGCTAATCTTCTTCACCAAAAAAAAAAAGAAAAAAAGAAAAAAACCAGGACTGTCAGA